AGGAAACCGTCGTGGTGTACAGGCTGATATCGCCTGTGAGGTACGCCGAACCTCACACAGCCATGTTTTGTCGAATATAAGAGTTAAAAGTGAGAAATTCTACGTTTCTTTGTATCAGCAGCGCATTCTCAAGCGTTTTTGAAGGAAGTGCCCCGCGGAAGATGATCTTTTAGTGCATTACCAGTGATCTTTCGCCGTGGGAACTTATGAGCTGTTGTATGAATTAGGATGACTGCCGTATCAAGTGAAATTCATGAATTTGAATCTATTTATTTCCCTAGTTTGTTGCTAGTAGACCTGGGATTAATTCAGAGCCTTAATTCTGGTTAATTTAGAATCTTAATCTTAATCTTAATCCTGAATCTTAATCTTAATCTTAATTCTGAGTCTTAATCTTTACGATTCTTGCGCTTTCCACACATCTGCTATAAACTCGAGATTTATGAAAAGCCCATCATCCCGGTAACCTTCGTATCGTTCTTTTATCAAATCATGGGTACCACTAAGCTGTTCGTTTCATTTATCTGTTATCTCTCATCTCTATCACTTGATCAGGTCCCAATTCTAAAATTATCATTTTTTTTTTTGTTTATTTTTTCTGAATTCCGAGATTTTTTGCGGTTTTCCAGGAAGCATACCTTGTTTATATACTAAATGAAATGGCTGGACAAACAGCAATCGTCTTTTGCGCCACATGTGCATCAGCGCTGAAGATTGCGCTGATGCTGAGGCAACTTGGTTTTGGTGCAGTGCCTCTGCACGGGCAAATGAGTCAGGTGAGTTGTGGCGAACTTCCCCTTTGAAAAAATCTTTTTTACATTTGATAATACTGAATATTAAATGGCTTTTCCCATAAAAGCTTTTTGATAGCAGCAATGCTTTCTTTGTTTCTTTTTATTTTTTGCTTCTGCTTAGCTCAGATCCCACTCGAGTTACCAGTCTTGCTGCTTTTAAGTTAGAGGGCTGTACTGATGATTCCCACCTCTATCCACTCCTTCAGTTGTCTGTGTTTACAGCTAAGGGATGAAACAGAGACAAATATTCCTACGCATTCTCAACACATGAGAAATGAACATGTCGTATTGCTTATATTAAATATTCTAAAACACTGTCTCTCAATCCCTCCCATGTGCATTAGCAGATTCCTCATGGAGTATTTAAGTTGAACCTTCCTATTCCATTCCATTTCGAATTCAAGCATTTTCTTTTTTTCCCAGTAATTTTTACAGGCATTTATAAACCGCTTCAATTTTAGGCCAAACGACTTGGCTCATTAAACAAATTCAAGAGCAAAACATCAACGATTCTTGTTTGCACTGATGTCGCATCGAGAGGTCAGCAAACACACGTTTTTATCGTTCTTAAAATTACTGAAGAAAAAAGTTTTTCACTTTTTTTAACACGATATTTTCGTTTAGAGTTATAATATTATTAAATATTAATGCATTGATTTCTTAGAAAGCGCGTAAATTTCCCGCACACTGTA